GGGGGGGGGTTTTTCGTGAGCCGAGCCGAGCCGAGTCATCGCTCCTCGGAGCTCGCAGGCCGAAGCTTTCTGCGCCGACGAGGCCTCGCTGCAAGCAGGGCTCGGCGACAGCTTTGCTGCGGCCAGGCCAGATGTATCATCACCCCAAGCTACTGCTCGTCTGTGAACAAGAGCAGTGCTGAAAGGCATGATGGCCTGCGGAATCCAGATGCCGTGGCAACTGCCTACCATCGTCTCCAATACGTTTGCGGAGCCTTGGTAGCTTGGCTGGGAGTGGTGGCAGGATCCGCAGTTTGCCTAGAATCCAGACCGAAGATGGGCACAAATAAGGCCTTCGAGGTTGGCTTTGGTCATTGCGGGATTCATGGATCCTGCAAACTGCAACTGCTGACTGAAAGCTGTGAGACTCGGGGCTAAGGCCATTGTCCGGCGTTTGGGTGGTGCCTTCCCACTGCATTATGAAGGCGCTGACGGCGAGTTGAGCGGCGAAGAGTGCTTCTCGTTGTTCCTTGGACACTCTCAGGCATGAGCCACGTAGCGGTGCGGTTACATTAGTTTCACCGCCAGCGTAAAGAAGAAGCTGCGGCCACGCTGCAAAGACCAGTGTCTGAAGAGCACCGGGACCAATTCGCGAGAACACGGCGGCAGTGAAGTGCACTGTTATTGGTCTCAGGTTAGTCGAGTTCGCAAAGCTCAAGCTGCGCCCTTCTCTCTGGAACATCTGGTCCTTCGTGGACGTACTATACTGGCAACTGAAGGAGGCCTCGGACACCTTGCCTCAACCAACTTGTGTCAGCTCAGCAGTGACCTGAGGTGCACCACCCAGAGTCTGTTGCCAACCAAGCTTGCATTCCAGAGGAGCTTACCCTCTGGCCAGTGCTCGGCAGCTGTGCATGCATGGCTGTCTCAGAGCTGTTGCTGTCGCCTGTCAGGAGGGCGCTCCGACAGCCAAGCCGATGTCAGAACTGCTGGCACAGGACTGTCCGATGTTCAAAGGCCTGTTGAGGGTTGGGGCACGGTGCCGGGAATCCAATCTGACGGGCCCGTCAGAGGCGAGCTCATCGCCTTCATCCTGCGGACTGCAAGAGACTTTGCCACAAGGCAGACGGCGAACAACGAGGCAGCCTCCGTCCAGCTGATGTCTGGCATGGGACCCTAAGTCGCCCGAATTGCTGACAATTCGCTACACCTCGCTTTGAATTTACTCCTCCTCCTCGTCTTCGTCCTCCTCCTCCCCCTCCTCGTAACAGCAGCGCAGTAGCGGCAGCATACACATCAGCATGCCCCGATCAGACTTTCTTTACCCGCTGCTCATCCCTTTTTGACTCTAGGGGCTGTTTCTAGATCCCCAGCTCGCACCGAGATTGGGGGTCTGGGTTTGGGAGCTTTGGGGTTGTTTCCAGATCCGACATTCGGCCAGACTGGGGGTCTGTCTGGGTTTGGGCGTTGTGAAAGCACTATTCCCGTCAGCACCATCACCTCACAATGAGTGGCCGCGGTGGTTAGACTGACATGTTGCGATGGGAAGCTGTCCATGTGGTTAGCCTAGGGCTGCTCATATCATCGTGACGAGAGGTGGATCCCGAGACAGTGGTGGCTGCGCACCTGCAGAACTTTCATCAGGAACGCTACTTCTTCGAAGATGTGTGTCCTTGTGCTTCACAACGGTCCAGAAATAGCGTAAACCAAGACTCAAGATCCGTACTTGCGAAAGGACCGTTTCTGTGGAACTTGGCGCCTCCAGCCTTTCTCCAGTGATGGTCACCCCGTCTTCGCCAAGTACGACAAGAGTGAGAAGGGCTCCGGGCAGTTCTTCCTGTACTATCGAGCTGCTCAGCGCATGTGGGTCATCGATGCTGAGTTGGACAAGGTCGCGGTCGTTCAATTCTGAGCAATTGGGAGGACTTGCGTTGAGACCGGGGTTTGATTCGGTACAGGTGGCCCCGGCCTTCGCGTACACCCGCAAGAGAGACTACGAGAAGGGTTGGTGGAGGATGGCCTCTTGGGTATCTTGGCGTGAGAAGAGGCATGCATCCCTTTCTGCACTGCTTGAAACTGCGAAGGTTCCCAACAAAGGCATGACGCTTGTGAATGCCGAGCACCCGCTGGCCTTCGAGAGGGAAGCCGTGGAGGCCGGTGTGTGCGGTGTGCGTCGTCGTGGCACGTGCCGCGCCCGTCGGACGGGCGAGAGGTGCGCGGCGTGGACGAGCAGCTCACTGGATCCCCCGAGGCTGGGCGGACACTGTTGTGGATGCTTGAGTGTCAGGCGCATGGGAGCAGTGCGTGTGCAACAAGCCAAACAAGCCAAAGCCCTCCAAAAGCGCAAGCTGCATCAGAGGAGTACCTCGTTCCTCTCAACGGAATGTACCTGCGCCAGCCGAAGGATGAGAATGTGAACGGCAAAGCGCACTTTGTGTTGGAGCCTTTTCCCAAAAAGATGCACGACCAAGGTTCGCTAGAGTCATCAACTCTGCACTTTGCACTTTGACATCGCTGCTGCTGGAGCCGAGCCCGCCCCGACTCCAAATGTGCCTCTGCATCAGAGGAAAGGCCGCGCAGACATCTCTTCTGGGACACAGGCGCTGTGGCAGCATGACTTCTCTTGCACAAATGGTGAGAAACCCCCAGACGGGGATCTTTTACGCAGCCAGAGCGAGGAATGGACACGTGGTGCATCGCCCATGTGTGCCATTCCGACGAGGGTGTCTACGCCAAGTCTTCCCGCCCTTTGGACACATACTCTCGTTCAAGGGCTTTGCTTCGGGCACTCACCATGCCAGTCGGTGCATATTTACGGGTCATCATCGCCTTTGTTTGGGACTTCGTGAGACTTGCTTCCCGTTGTCGCACAGAGTCCTGGTGCACCCTGCAAAGGAGCCGCCCTGCTGGGACCCTACGTCACCATGGGCCGGGACGAGCAGGCTAGGAAACACTGCGTGGATACCTGTGTTGTTCCCAATCAGCTTGCATCAGGCCGAAAGCACAAACAGTTCGGAGTCGCTGGAAGACTGACAGTTCGCCTCTTGCGTTGGCTTGTTGAAGGTACCCAACGCCCGCGTGTCTTTCGTCACTGCCGGGGAGGAAGCGGGCGCCGCTGCCAGGCCGACCGGACATGATCCGCAGCGCTTCGGAAAGAGCTGTCGAGGCTTTGAGATGAGGTAGTGAAGTTCAGTAGAGAGTGCTGTGTGACAAGGCGAGAGCCAGAGCAGGAGGAGGACTTCCCCCTTCTGCGCTGGGAGGACAGCAGCGGCCCGGCTGAACACACCCGTGCGAACAGTGACTTCGACAACCAGGCTTGTTGGTTTGCCCAGGTCATGACTGTATGCTTTTCTCGAATCGCCGCCCGGCGGCAAGTGCGAACACAATCAAGTAAAAGAACACTCCATTCTAGATTCCAGCGGTTGCGAAAAAGCCCAAGGTTCAATAGTTCAATTCATGACGGCTCTGGTTGCAATGCCGTACAGTCCTGTAGCACGTAGCACGTTGGTCTCGTCTTATCGTTTCTGATCGGTTTCTGGCTTGAGACAGGCAAGCACCAGGTTTGCTTCCTTTCGAGCCAGCCAACCAAGCGGCTTGTCTTGGACATGGCCCTTCGAGCTTTTGGTGGGTTTGTGGGAGGAGAGAAAGAATAAACACAACTGTGACATGGCTCGCTGGAGGCTCCGGATTTCCATGCATCCGGGCCTACTCTTTCTGCTCGAGCGCAACCATGCCACCTGTCTAGAGTGGAGGCGGTTAAGCTGTTCCTTAGAGCCACACAACATCTCCAGAGGTCTCCGTCGGTGAGTCGCTGGATGCCCTGACCGCTGATCATACCAAAATCCTAGGCCTGAGCATCCGCGTCCCTGCTTGAACATCTCCTATCCGAAAGAGGCTGCCTGACTGGGGTGGACCGGTCCAGGGAGGAGGCGGCCGAGCTCTTGGATGGCAAGTACTGCCTCACAGGCAGGGCCTGTGAGTGTAGCAAGGCCAGGGGACGAACTGAGCATTCGGAAGGTGATGCAGTCCTGAAGATGCTTGCGATCTTTGTCCGTCTTCGTTGCGGCCTGCCCGTGTGCCTTAGAAGCACAGGGGATGAGGCCACCGGGAAGCGCTGTCCTGGCGAACTGTTTGCAGGATCTTGATGGGCGAGTGCGGCTGCGGTAAAACCGAGTTGGCGCGGGCCACAGCGACACTAACCTCGGAATGTTCGAGCAAACTTTTCAATCCGCCGTGCAAGCCTTCATTTGGATGCAGGTGCGCTACCTTTGTGCCTGGCTTGGGGTGGAGCTGGTCACGCTGAACGTTCATGGTGGGACCACAGAAGACGACATCGATCGGGTCCCTGACCAAGACACAACCGATGTCCATGCGGCAGGTAACACTTGTTCATCTGAGGCTCTCCGCTTCCAGTTTCACATAACTTGTAGAACGCCTGTCCCCACCAGCCGAGGTGTTTGCTCAGGCACGAAAGCTTGTCCAGGAGCGAGAGGGTGAGCGCGTGATCATCTTCCTGGATGAGATCAACACATCCCAGCATGTGAACATGCTCTGTGAAGCGGCTCGGCCCGGCGGCGTAAGCAGAGGAGCTGAGCGACGAAGCGTGCGAGCGCACGTGCGTGCGCCCGCCCAGGCCGTGCTCGAAAGGTCGCTTCGACCCTTGGCTAAACTGGCCCCACATGCAGTTACCGGCTGTTTGCCCTATTCCCTATTCTATAGGGGCGAGTCGCTGAGGGGGTGACGCCCTGCCCTCCAATGTGGACGTGCTGGCGGCGCTGAACCCTCGCAGAAAGCCACTCGAAGCAGGAGAGTTGTCTGGAGTCGGGCCGGGGTGGGAGGGATTTGGTCCCGAGGCGGCCACAACAGCAGTTGACGACCGGCCTCGTCTTCGGTGGCCAGGGCAGTGCCGAGGCAGCTCGCACCCCGATGTACGGACATGTTCGGACGTGAGAAAAGATACCTCGCACTCGACTTGTGCAGTTCTCGAGCATGGAGCTTGTTTCTGCATCGGGCTACAGTGCGAGTGGGATCGACTGAAACGGATGCAATCGCGCGGTGGATGATACCAAGGGCTCGCAAGCTCAGTGCAATGATTCAATGTGCTCTCGGCAGTAGCAAAGCGAAGCACATGCCGGATTGGGAGCTGCACCATTGCAAGTAGCTGCCGGGTGTTGAAGGATCTTCGTATACAGCACTACCGGCGACGGGACGGCATTCCATGTTGCGGTCGAGCTCACCACTCAAGGCATGCTTGATTTACTCACGTCGCAAGAATCGACTTCCAACGTTCCCTCCGCGAGTTTCGATTGAACAGAGACTCCACGGCCGAGCCACTCGCAGGGCTGCCTGTTGAGGCGTGCTTTCTTGCTGCACACAATTCCCAGAACCGGCACGTCGCTTGTGCGACTTCGTGTGAGCACAGCCAAGCACCTCTAGCATCACCTACATCGACCTAGCAAATCTCATGCCCAACCCGAATCAGAATCAACAGATGTTGCCAGTTCTCAGCATGGTTTCAATGCAAGCCTTCGTGCTCGCGAGGAGGAGATGAGCGGGTTGGTGTACCGTGTGCATGCCGTTCCCGAGACGGTGAATGACTTCCTCTTCGATTTCGGGGCAGCGGCCTCAACGCGGATGAACGTTGCAACAAGACGACCGAAGCATGTCTCTGCAACGACGTTTGACGCTGCTGCAGGCTTTGACCCAGAAGGCAGAGAAAATGTACATCCGCTCCATGGTGGCTCAGCTTGCATGTTGTTCGTTTAAACGTAGACGCCGTAGACGTGTCTCTTTGCAGGTGCAGAACGGTTGGCCCGAGAGCCACGAGCGTGAGCAGGAGCTCGTCACGGAGCTCCTCTGCCTCGCGCAGGTGCCCGAGAGAGAGAACTTTCGAGTTCGAGAAGGGGGACATCGAAAGATGGCAGGCCTTCATACGTTGGGAGGAAGGCGATCCGTCGGCAGTCTCTCTGAGAGATGTGCTCGACGCTTAGATTGCTCCGGCCTGCTCTGTGCTGTATCCCCAATCGCATCACTATCGCAGTCCTGCTCAGGAAGCGGTGCTTGCGAGTCGCGCGATGGACCCAGGACTGGCCTTGTGTCCATCTTGTCCACAATGCTTCATGAAGCACGTGTCGTTCACGATTTATTGCTCTCACACTGTGCAGGGAGAACAGTTCGGAATCACTTCTTTGGTCAAACGAGTGGTGGTCTGTTCGCTGACTCCCGCAACTCATTGAGAACAGCGTTACGGATCTACGCATATGCCATGATTGGGCCCCTAATAATGAACCGGTCGTTGAATCCGGTCTGAGCAGACATCCTCAACACGCTTGGAGTTCTGTGGTGGTCGAAAACGCATCCGGATGAAGACGGAAGTGGCCAACTCCTTTTCTGACTCCAGGCCCAGCGAACAGTGCTGAACACATACGTGGAAGCATCGGCGACACTTTTCAGTCAGCTGAGAGCTGTTCAGTTTTGTTGGCGCTCTGTCCTGTTGTGTTGTGTTTGGCCTGATAATGCTCTGTGCAGGAGCGCTTCGGAAAGAAGACTGCGAAGAGTCAGCCGCACCCTCCCTCGGTGGTGACTTGGCCAAACTTGTCTGTTTGAGAAATCCTGAATTTCTTTTCGACATGGTTCTGCCATTTTCCCCAGTACGACATTTAGTCTAGAGAGGGTCTGAGTCATCATGTTGAGTTGGGGAGACTGTGAAACCTGAGTAGTCTCGTCGCATCTCTCGAGGTCGTTGCGGTGGCTTTGGTATACCATTACCGCCTGGCCTTCAGGGACAGGCGAAGTGGTGCAAACGCTGCTGACATGCTCAGACTTTGTTTGCCCTGCCAGTCGCCACAGCCTCTGGATTGACCTCACACGTCGGGCGCCCTGGCCGGGTGACAGGGGCGAGATGAAGGGCAGAGGATGGGCAGAGCTGAGCAAGCAGCGCGAGGCCGGCAGGGGCTAAAGTCGGCTAAAGAGTGACGTGACGGCTTTGGATTCATGCCTGCTCCAGGAGAATGGCCTCACAGTTGCCCGGCAAACACAGGGCCAACCTTCGCTGTCAATCTTCGCATGGCTCAGCTGACCCCATGCATGCGCTAGATAGCTGCAAAAGGGCAACACTCGCAAAGTTAAGGCCATGGAAAACATCCTCCGGAAGGTGCAGAACAATGTCGCGAAGGAGTTCGAAGTCGAGAAAGATGTAGTGTCTGGCTTGCACCGGGGGATGAACTCCAAATCATTAGCCGGAATGAAAGCTGCAGCCCAGCACCTTGCATGCATTCGTAAGCCGTTAAGGTCATGAACGAAGCATTGGCTGAAAACGTGTTCGTCGGGCTTCTGTGCATTATGAACCGCATCCCACTCTTCATTGTTGGCAAGCCAGGCCACAGATACGATCAGTTGTTCAGAAACCGGCGAGGAAAGCCAAGACTCTTCGATTCGCCAAAGATCCGCTTCGCCTAGCTAAACCACAGCTGTTGCCTTGGCAGGTACCTCAAAGACTCTGTGTATGCAGGTCTTGTGGCTTGCCCTTTTCAGCTGATCACGGGTGAAAGCGGGAGGGGTCGGGATAAGCGACAGACTATCGACACCTGCAGTGATATGGCAGTGATATGGGTCCTACTACAAAAAACCCCACACACACAGAGCATCGTGCGCTTGTTTGACTCGGCTTGAGTCAGCTGCTTCTTTTCTTGACGAGTGTTTGAAGTCGTTTAGGACATGGTGGGTGTCAACTGATCTTGGCCTGTTCAGTGGATTTTTCAACCCCGCGCCCTAGCTAAGGATGAGCAATCTGCAAGGGAAGCTGTCCAAGTCCAAATTCTTGCAGACTTTGCCAGCCCTTCGACTCATGCAGTATCAGCCCCTTGGCACTTGGCAGGCGGTTCTGCAGCAGTCTCTGTCGCAGCCCACACTTGTGTCTCGAGGTGCTCACCGTTGTCCACGGCTGACGGCATCCAGTGAGGCTCTCAGAGAGCCTGACTGGCCGCAAAGCGCTTGGGCCAGCGATGGCAAGCCTCTGAGGCGCCAATTCGATGCGGCTTCTCGCTTTGCCTCCAATGCACTGGACGCCCAGGCCTCCAAAACCCTGAGGAGTGCTCTCGTACCGGCCCGAGACCCCATGAAGAGCTGCCTGCACATTGCAGGTAGTTCTCCTCTTGGATGAGGTGGGCCTTGCAGAGTTCTCGCCAGCAAAGGCCTCAGAACAGCAGAGGCCCGACTGCTTGCAAGAGCCGGGCCTTGCCAAGTTGCCAAGGACATGCCTTTGAAGGTTTTGCATGGAATTCTGGCGGAACCGGGGATCGTCTCGGTGGTGGGTGTCTTGGTCTGCAGTTTGAGCAGAGGGGGCATTGCGGGAGGGCTGTGGTCTCGGGTTGCGGCGTGGAGTTGAAGTCTCACGACCAAAACAGAAAACACATGTCGGAGATGTTTGAAGACTTACATGATTCGATGCTCCAACTTGGACAACCTGCTGACGAGAATTTTTACAAGACAAAGTGATTACAATCCAGTTGAGATAGCAGCCGACGAGGCTTTCCTTTTCTACATTTCCCAAATCGTGTACCTGCACTGAAGATGCGGGCAAACAAACCTAAATCTTGGGAGCTTTGCCAGACTTTGACTGCTTTGTACAGAGGGAAGTGCAGATGGCTGAATCTCTCTAGGTCTAAGCAGAAGGACCAAGTTCCTGAAAAGCTCGAGGTCAACCCATGGGACACCTCATGGGCTTAACATGCCTCGGGAACCGCGACTGAGTTTGCTAAGTTACTGCGAAGTGGCAGTCAATGGAGCATGCTGCCCCCCTCAGACAAGCATCAACCATAGTGATTTTCCGTTCTGGCTCTTCCGAAAGTCTGTTTCACAAACAGCAGAACAAGATCGGCTACAAAAGAGCTGCCAAGCAAAGGAAAGCCCAGGACACACGGAGGCCAAGGCAGGAAACCGTGGCTGCCGAGAAGACGGTAGCTGTGAAGTAAGGCCATGCCATCGCCATGTCAGCAACAGATGACCAGAAGCTTCCGCTCGTCCCGACAGGGTCGTCAACTCGCCTCGCCTTTCATTCTGTGTTCGAGCGGATAGGAGCATTTCCCTACCGCAGTGTCGGGTGTTGTAGTATAGAGGTGATGATACAAATCCACGAAGTTCCCTTGGATGTAATGAGTTTCAGCAGCTATCGGCACAGACCTCTCACAAGGGACGGCTTGGCTCAGGTTTGTCGAACTGGCGGCTGGACCCGGCCAAGATGTGTCTCGGATTGAAGGAAGGTTTGGCCTTCAGGCTGTTTCGTTTGTGCGACTGCGGCCGAGGAACAGGAGCGTTTGCCTTGCGCGGCCGGATCCGGACTCTGCAGAGGTTGGTCGAACAGGCAAGGGAGTGCACCTCTCCACAGGAGGGTCACGTGGTAGCCTGAGCATAGCCTGGATCGCCAGCAACGGTGCAAGAGGAGCAGGGTTGCTTGCGGCCTTCAGTGGGAGCTCCTCGCCCGGTTGGCTGCAGGACTTTGCGGGTTGAGGGCCGGGACCAAGCTTTTGGTGATGACGTGGGGATGGCATGCTGGACGAAGTTGTGTTTTGGCAGAGCCGCATCGTCAATTCTCTCAGTCTGTGTTGTCACTGCAAACCTTGCCCGGGATGCCTTTGTGCAACTGCTCCGTATTCTACCCGGAGATGCTAGGTGCCGCATTTTGCACTTGATGCAGCGCTTCATTCTTGTGTGCTGTGTGCTTTGCAGCGCACCGGGTATTCATTTGTCGCATCTTCATCGAAGTGCTCGTGCAAACATGGAAGGCTTTACGTTCATCGCATGGCAGTGCGACCTTGCTCGTGGCTTGCGGCAGGAGCTGTCTGCCGCCTTCTGGAGCGTTTTCGCAGACCAAGGTACCTGGTCGGCTGTCGGTGGTGAGTGGGTGCGTGTCTGTTCGTCCGCCCGATGTGTCTTGCTGGCTAGAAGGCGATCGCGACTGGCTGGGAATGCGAGACTACTACAGTTTTGTCCGTGCCGTTCGCGATGGATGTGTTTCGGCGAGTGTGGAGCAACCTACTGCAGAGTGTCTTGGCTAAGCTGTGCTAAGCTGCCCCGGCCGAACTCGGTGTCAGTCTCAAAGCTCAGGATCCTGGCATTCGCCATTCGCCGAAATTTTGGAGGCACAAAGCGACATTTTCCTTACGTGGCCGTGTCACATCGTTGAGCGCAAGGTCAGCCAGTATTGTTGGAGAGGCTGCTTCATGCAATGCTTCCTGCAGGCACCTTGTAGTTGCAACCCAGCTCATTGAGTGGCGTGCGCAGTGCTGCAGGTGCCAGAAGAGAAGGAGAGCGTCTCGCTTGGCCGTTGAAGGAGCTTCTCTGCTCCAGTCTCTCGGACAGGACACCGGTCATGGGCCTTTTTGGGTTGCATTTGAGCCTAGCACCAACCACTCTGTGCTGCGCACACCAGGACAGCCCGGCACCTGCTCCTGGCCAGCCAGGCTTTCACGGGTTTGGCAGGTTTGACACCACTAAAGTCACTAAAGCTGCGAAAGCGCTTGGTTCATGTGAGACCCCACGTCCTCCTCGGGGTTTGACATTTTTGCCCAGGGCGCTGCCTTGCCATGGCTGCAGGCCGCCCGGCCGCCCTGCGCGACGGTCTTTCCCCAGCACGACCAGCTGTGCTATGCTGTGCTAGCTTGCAGGCAGCCGACATCCTGCCCAAGGATGCGGAAATCCTGCTGGGCAGCGATTTCCCGGAAGATGCTTCCGAGGCGATGTGGTTTGAAGCAGTCACCAAAACAGCAAAAGGAGAGTACACGAGGTAGAGGAGATTCTGACGCGCTTGGCGCAAAGCCGCAGGCCTACGCCATCCGACAGCTCATGCGGGTGCGCGATGCGATGGCCAAGGCTCTCCAACCCCTTATGGCCTTGAGGGGTTCTGGCTCTGGGCATGCAGAATCTGCGAAGGGTCGCATGCTGCTGCTGTGTGGAATGGACGTCATCTACGAGGCGAGTGAAGGACAATGACACGCCGGCTCCAGTCAAACTTCTGCGGCCAAGGCACTCTACGACGTTCTCAACCAGCGCTACGTGCGGCGGCGGACCGAGGTGGGATCTTGTCTGCGGCCGTGCTTCCAGATGGCTTTCGAAACTCCCCTGAAGGAAGGCGAAATCGAATTGCTGCTTCGTTTGGCAATCGGAGCGCGGTCTCAGCTCTGCTCCATGGCACCGTCCTTCAAGCTTCTGGTGCTGGTGGACCAGGCACAATCGTCTTTGGCTCACCCATGATCTTGTCGAGGGCTACGGCTCTCCCCGCACAGGACCAGGCCTTCCGACAGCTGGATGTGCCGTTTCTGAACCGGTTCGAGAAGCAGCTGGTGGAACCTACAGAGCTCCTGGACCCAGCCAGGCGAGGGGGCCGAGGGACGAGGGATGAGGGGCGACTGGGGCCGCTTTTTTCCCGCTTTCGAGGCAGCCTCTCCTGGCGAAGCTGCAGGCCTGGGCGGAGGTCTTGGGTTTGGAAGCTGGCTGCGACGTGGTCGCTGGCGGACTTACGCCTTCCACGTTGGCTTCCTTGCTGCGCGGTCCCCACAGCTCTGACGCTCACTGACCCTAGAGGCCCTAGATTCCTTTTGCATGGCAGCTCTTGAGGCTGGCACGGCCAGAGGCAGACTTGCAGCAACTGAAGCTGGCGATCTTGGACATGGCGCTGCCGCTAGCAGTGTTTCGATCGAAGAGCTTGCAACAGCTCAGAGAGGAGAACTCCTACTTCCAGGCCGGGGCCGGGATATGGCGTCCAATTTCGAGTCTCGCAAACCCACTCACATGCATTCAGGTGCGACGGAGCTTGGCAAGCAGCATGGTTCATGTCGTCTCCGGTGTGAATTCTGGCGGCATCCTCTGCGAGCTATCCACGTCCTCGCCCATGGCGCACATGCCACCACTCCAAGACTTGGCTGAAGTCGGGGGCCACAGCATCATCCCAATTTCGCAGCTCTCGGGATCCCAGCAGCTAGAGGCACGGCGACCTGGTGTTCTGACATCTTTGTCATCTCCACTTGTTTGTGCTGTCTCTGCGAAACCGTTTGCAGTCTGGCAGGACATTCTCGAGAAGTTTTTCTCCGAGGGAGCCGAGACGAGTGAAAACAGGACTGCCAAGAGGTTCCTTTTCTTCATGAAGCTGCGCAAACCTGCATTCAGCCCCCTTGCCACGAGACGGAAGCTTCGCTAGCCGCTTCGATGCAGTGAGATTTCCTGCAGGACGCTGGTACTTCAAGTGGATGCTCTGAGCTGCAGCACCTCGCGCTTGGCACTCACACGGCATCGCTGCGCCGAGGTTCGCAGCAGGGCCTGGCTCGGGGGATCGGGGAGCATGGGTGCGAGCGAGAAGCACAGACCTTCCACAGGAAAAGCTTCAGGGCAGTTGGCTTGGGAACAACGCGAGTGTATTGCCTTCCAGCGTTTTGCCGGCTTTGCTGGATGCAGGTGCAGCGGAGGCCCGGAACCCGTCTGCGACGAACATGCTGCCTTCAGCTTCTTCTGAACGTTGGTTCGTGTTGTGCAGTGTAAAGCATTCTCAGCTGTGCAGCTCTCTGATTTTCGATTCACGCGAAAGCTCCAGTCGGCCATCGCAGCCCAGCACGGCCATCTCCCATCGTTGAATAAATGAATGAATCCAGCCGCCAGCAGGCTCGGGGCTGCCTCTCGTTCCCACGTCTTCTTGGTCCTCCACCGGGTGGGATGGATGTCAGAAGGCAGTCGCTTGCCATGCACTTCTGGCGTCTCTTTCCGTGTGAGAGTGCGAACATCCGCCTCGGCCTACCATCCCAGGCAAGGGTTACAGCTGGCAGCCACAGATTGGCTGGCACTCCATGTTTGTCGACGACCTGCAGGGTGGGCCAGGGCGGGGAACGGGAGTTCCGAAATTGTGAGAGGAAAGTACAGACCAGATGCGAGCCGCTGAGTCTGCAAGCCGTAGTTCCGAGCTGTGCGATCGCTGCCTCACAGGCCCAAAGATGGCAACTCTGGGCCCAGAGACCCGGCTGGTGGGCCAGTCGCTGCAGGCGACATGGATCTGGATTTAAGTCATGATGGCTTGTACGACAAGAAGTAAGTAAATCAGTGAGTAGATTTGAGTAGATCAGTAAGTAGGTAAGCCGATAGGCAAACAGACGATCACAGCTTCAAGCAGCTCCGATAAAGGCATGTACCCATGTATACGCGTGCTCGAAGATGTGTGCGTGTGTGTGACCACTCCTGAATCGGCACTAGGGAGAACAAAAGTTGCATCATGTCGCGTTACCGAAGATCTTGCTTGACACTTGCAGGGGCTTCAGCACTTGCAGGGCTTCAGGCCCATCATGCCTACCTGACGCAACGAAGCTATGGAACGATGGGGGAAGCGTCGGTTGACCATCGGTGTGCACCTGCAAAGTTTGCCTGTGACATCTTCTGACATGGTGCATACTCGTTGTTGCGGCTAGGTCTAGGTCAATCTACAACAGGATTGGGCCAGGACCCAACCAAGGTTGACGTCACCCCCAACGACAGGCTCCACCAATGAATTAGAAGACTCCAGTGTGAGGACGTATATCCAATAGGCGGAGGGCCCAGCGATGCACCGTCTTGATCCCTTTTGGGCAATGGAGGAAATAGATGAGGTTATTCTGTCGGTCAGCACTGTTGTGCAAAGGACAGGTGCAAAGATGCGAAGGCAAGAGCAGCCAAATTTGGCACAGCATCTCAGTCACAAAGTATCCGTATGTCCCAAGCTCTTCCGTCCTGTCGTCGGTTGTTCGCGTCTTGTTTTGCTCGTCGTTGTCTTTGTTTCTTGTTCGTCGTTTTTGTTGCTGTTGTTTCTATTCTTCCGCTTGTTCCTTGACCTGTCCTTTGCTCTGAATGCCACCAATTTTGGGGTTTTCCCTCGGTAAGGCCCTCGGGCCGAAAGGATCTCGAGATTAATGGTTCTCGGCTTTCTCCACTCCTTACCAAAGAGTGCTTCTGGTCGGCAGAGTCTGTCACTGTTGCTTACCCATTCGTTCAGTGACTGTCGGGTTATGCCGTGCCTTGGTATGGGCCTTGTGGCGATTGGGTGCCTGAGTAGGTGTTTGTGTGCCCTTTCAATCGCAACTTCATCTGGGTATGATGTTCAGTGTTCAGGCATCAGCCTTGCGACCCATAGAGCCTTGACTATGCCGTCCAGTTGCGGGCAACTTGACTACACCGCGAGATCTGTGGTGACCATACATAATCTCCTCTTCAAGGGTTAACAAGTGTGGTTGGGAATGGTTCTGCGCCTCTTGTTTCGAAGCCCAAAGCTGTGGTCCTGACTTGGCGCCAGTTGGGAAAGTGCGCTTTGGCAGGAAGAGCCTCATGCCGGCGACGACAGCAAGCGAAATTACGACAGATTTTTATCTTGGTTTCGCGCACCCCATGTCTGCCAACGGCCTCTCTTGGCGCATCCGCTACGCAAATTCGACGTGTTTACCTTTCAGACAGCACCCCGTTTCCGCTGAGCCTCGTGGCCCGGAGGACGGCTGCCAGCTTCGGCTCCTCACTCCGGTTGAATTGTCTTGGGTCTCCGGTTATTTCCTTTTTTGCTTGGTTCTTGCACCTTGCCATAGGCCTCTTGGCAGCTTAGTGTGTTGGTGACTTCGTGCAGTGAAGAGCGCGTTTTATGCCAGCCGTGAAGAGCGCGGGCACTGCTTCCATGCCGGCTGCCGTCCTTGCTTGGCTTGATACTCCTGCAAGCGTGGCTCCGAGTTTGACCTCCGCAGACGAATCGTTGACAATGTCGACCACGGCACTGCTTATGCCTCCCGGCCTTCCGCCGGTGTCGCATCTCGCATCATGGATTTCGTTCGCGGCATCATGTACACTTCTCCACGGTTCTGTATGGCTCATAGTAGCGAGCTTCCTCGGGCTACTGGAGTAGCTGAGCTTGTTGGTCGCTGCAAGCTTGTGCAGCCGTGTGAAGCTTAATCCCTAGCTCACTTACATACACGCACAAGACGACCGGGAGGGTCAGGGAGGGTGGGGATCGAATGCACTCAACAAAGAACCTTGTTGCGGCATGGCGGATTTCCTGCCATTTAAGCAAGTGAACAGACAGAACAGCTCCCCACGCCCCGAAACCAGCCAAAACCCTGACAACACGCCACCCGCAACCGGCGTTAGCCAAATTTGTCCCAGAGTCAGGAGTTCCTGCAAAGTTCCGCCTATGACCTCCATGTGCGCCAGCTCATTCCCTCTTTGGCAGAGTTGCTTGACGGCAAAGACTCAAAAGCACGATCTGCTTCCAATTGTATTGCTAAGCGCATCGGAGGCAGGTTGTTTTCTTCAGGTGCCCAAACGACTTCGTTCATTGCGATGGCTGTACTGTGCGATGTCGCAGCATCTAAGCCTTCTAAGCCAAGCCGGTTCAGGATGCTCCGTGTCCGGAGCCACACCTGTCTCGCACGCTGCGTGCAGCCAGACATCGGAGGCATCCCGTGGCCCGTGGCGAGGGGACTTGAAGTCCTGGTCCTCCGGTCGCCAGGTCTCGAGGCCTTCGCCGAGCGAGTTCGTGGCATGCGCCGAGCACTTCAGCAAGAGGCTTTCGTGGAGGCTGGGTGCTGCGCAAAGGAGCCCTTCTATGGACTTCAATAACGCTAGTGGTAGCTTCTTGAGAGCTGCTCCAGATTGATGCGAGTTGCATCATGAGATTGTCGCATCCGGCACTTTTGACCATGTTGCACACACAGAGATCCCAACAGAAAGACAGGCTACCAAAACAAACACTCGAATTGGCGAGGGCCATGGTCTCTTATAGCATTGCAACAGGGACCGAACTAGGCTGACTTGTCATTCTGCCAGCCCTGGCTTGGGGCAGACTCGAGGCCCTCCAGTCCCTGGCGCTCCTGGTCTTGGAGAAGTGGGCCATCAGTGATCCGGGAGCATTGCAGCTTCACGTGACCCTTGGCCCTGGAAGCATAGACATGTGTCGCAGGGTTGACGGTGGAAGCCCATTGCAGACAATGAACGCTGAGCACCTTGTTCAGGAAGCTTGCAATGCAAGAGCTGCGTGTTGGAAGTTTGCGCAAGTCGGCCTCTTGGATGCCCTTGGAATTCGAGATTTGAGGTTGCCAGTCCCACTAAATGCAGAGAAAGCAGTGCTTCATTGCACGATGGTTCACCAACTTCTTCGGACGACTAGTCCCTGTCAAGTGCTTCGAATCTCAGCAGCCGACCGACCGGTGTGGATCCAGGCGAGTCAACAGAAAGAGTGGAGAGATCTCTAAACTCAACACCACGACAGCTTGAAGCAGTAAACCCCACGATCGGAAAATCCTAAAGCATGACGCTTATAGTCTCTAAATCTTAGCCCAGGTTTGGCTGGCCATCGAACGAATCCAGCTCTCTGCTCTTACGCACGCACTACGCTGGATGGCGCCTGGCCTTGCCTTAGGGAAGTGTCCGGCTGCCTGACAGAGCTGTCCACCTGTCTATCTGCATTTATGTCGAAAAAAGCGTCTGTGCTTCTGTGCATCTATCTTTCTATACTTCTATCTATCTCTCTCAGAGCAGATTCGCGGGGCGACTGTCTGCTCTGCAAAGGACACCGACTTCAACCTCCGGCATGTCTATGGAAGCGACGACAGTGCCAAGGCTGTCCGGAATCAACCTTGTCGCCAGCCAATCTGTAGCCGATTCGCCGGCAAGATCTCTTCGTTTGTCTTGCGGGCTGTACACGTCTCCTTCGTCCCTGTCCCTCTGTCTCTGTCTCTGTCTCTGTCTCTGTCTCTGTCTCTGTCTCTGTCTCCGTCTCTCTCTCTCTCTCTCTCTGTCTCTCTGTCTTTCCCTCTCACTCTCTCGTTCCGTCCCTCCCTCCACGCAGCTCTCACTGTGCCGGTCATATGCTTTCGCACTCTGTTCCTGTGGAGGCCCTGTGGCTCGCACTGGTCGAGACGCCGTCCATCCAGGCCGCACCGCAGGCGCGACGAAGGGCCGACACGGTCATCCATTTGATCGGGCTCTCGTGTGCAGCAGATAGCTCGGCAGAGAGTTCGATGTGACCAGGTGCTTGCGACCGCGCTTCGGCCGGGGGCGGCATTGCAAGGCCGGCCAAGAACATGAGCTGAGCTTGTTTGAGGGCTCTTGCGACAGGTGCGGCACCTGTGCCGAACAGCGGCCGGCACGGGCCCCTGCGCTGCCGCTGCCCCTTCGCCTCACGGCTCCTGTCTCTGTCCCTGG